AAAAATAGAAACTATAAATTCGTTTTTAAAAATTGCAAATTGCATAAGTTTAAGATCTACTCAAAAATACTCTGTACTTAGGTTCACTACAAAATATACAATGATAAGACACAAGATTGTAAGGAGTGAAATGAAATATACTTAATTATATATTCACATAATAATTCAACATTTTCAGGTAATGAAGATCATCATGTAAGAAAGACTTCTTTGTATTTTACTGAATGGAAGCGACTTTATTCCCCTATCTATCTTAATTTTCTAGCTAAAAGGTATAAAAACGTCAACTCAAGAATAGTATATAAAATAAAAAGAGTGCCTTTATATTGATAAAGACTTTGTTCTAAAAGTAGGCATTCACAATATTATGCCCTCTCTTTACTGCAGGCTATAAAAAGTGCGAGATTTTATAGAGCTTTAGATATAGTTTACAATGTGAACGAGTGCCCCAATTTTGTAATACGATAAATATATGAAATATTGGTCGCACCAATGCATATTTATTAGAGGCATGTGAAACGCAACGCATTTAAACAGGAAACGCAATACATGGCATGGAAAGGGCGGGAGATGGGGTGGCCGAAGGCAGTGGGTGGGTTGGGGTAGGTGTCAAGGGTGTCACACATAATAATACGAAAAACGTTGAGCTGGGGGTCAGCCATGGCGCAGCATGTGTGGAAGTAGCGACAGAGGCAGAGGCCTATGCAGAAGCAGCGACAGCAGCAGAGGCAGCGTCATAGGCAGAGGAAGAGTCATGGGCTATGCTTAAGCATAGTTACATATATATAAATATATATGTATGCATGCATGAATGTCTGAGTAGCCCTTGGAGCGCTGCTTATGACTCTGCCTCTGCCTCCGCCTCTGCCGCTGCCGCTGCCTCTGTCGCAGCAGCTTATAGATGACATCACCTGCCCAGACCGCGAGTCCCGTTTGAAGCAGGAGCACAGGAACGCGCAAGCGCCGCATACATACAAACGGAAGCACGAATGAGCGGGGAAAGAGACAGAGAAGGAGAGAGTGAGAGTCTGATTGAGAGGCGGGAAAAGGCGCCTAAGACGATGCTACGCATTGTTGTGTATATTAAAAAAAAAAAAAAAGAAAAGCTCCCGCTGCAGCAGCAGCAAAATTTTCTATTTTGGAGCAGAGAAATATGGGTCATGCAGCACTTGAAAATTCCAACAAAGGGAAATGATGCTGTCATTGAAGGAGATTGAAATGCTGATGCTGTGTGTACTCATACACAGCTATGTATGTATGTATATATGACTATAACTGTGTATGCACACATGACACTTGCACTTTAATACGCACGAAGCAACTTTTTTGCTTTCAATATTCAATATTCTATGAGTTTCGATGCGACCACAAATTTTACATCTTTTGCAACTTACATTTTACTTGCTTAAAAAAACTTGATAAAAATTTTCAAATTTTTTAAAATTTGTTTCTTAGCGTGTTTTTAGTTTGTTGTGCGTTGCTGCGCGCGCGTTTGCTGTCGCTGTCGAGACTCGACTGTTTGGTCAAACTGCGCAGCCAGCGACACAAAGGGGCCAAGCGGCGTATGAGTGATATTTGCTGAGCATTGAGTGAGTTTCGTTGCTCGCAAAACTGTTGAATTTGTCAGCCAAACAGCTAGCACATAAATCATGGCCAGCAAACGGCCAACATTTCCCAGCCAAAACAAAGTTCCAGCCCACAGGCGGCACTATGCGTATACGTATTATACACATAATTTGTATATTTTACGCGATGACTTCATTTCACTACTACATAATAAAAACAAACAAATGGAATTTATAAATGCCAAAGAGTAGAGCGTGAAGAGACTAAAAAATATTTATCAACAAAAAAAAGTGACGCCAGTCGCCTTATCAACGCCAAAATTTCGACTCAAACTGTGTTTTGTTTTGAGTGAGAAATTGAGCGCTGAGACGAGAGAGAAGAGAGAAGAGAAAAACGATTTGAGCTTTTTCCCATTGAGCGGGTCAATTGTTGTTTTGTTGTATGAGTCCAGAAATTAGAAAACGATGCGTGAAATTTGACAACAAAAACACAATAAGTGAGAGGGCATAAAATTATAGAAAGAGAGAGACAGAGTGAGAGAGAGGGAGCGGCGGTGTCCACAAGTGCCTAAGCTAATTAGTATGAGCTCATGAGTTGCGAAAAGATTAGCTATTCATTCGGCAGTAGCTAATTGTATATATTTTCATATGCAAATGACATCGTCTGAGATCCAATGATTAGAGTAGCCCAAAAATAGTTCCGTGCGAGTTCTTTGAACTTGTCTGATCGGAAATTGACTAGCTTTAGGTTTAGGCAAGGAAAACAAGCCGGAAAACTTAATCAAACACCTTTAGCGTGTTTACCAACATTGCGTTTTGTTCAGTTAATTTATTACAAAACCGGCCCAATCCCTGCTGGCCATGATTTATGCGACCTGTCATTCCCATTTTCGAGCAGTTTGTGCTTTTGGTCAAATGCCTCGGATGGCGTCATACAGAGTCAGGCACGAAAGACAAGCAAATAAGAAGCAGCAGAACAAATAGTTGGTTGGCCAAGGCATGTCAAAGCATTAATACTCTTATATGTTCTCATTCAGACTTTTGTCAAATTGCTCTCATTGAACCCAGGTCATGTCGATTCATATTTATGAGCATTAAGAAATATTGTAACGCACGTAATTTGAGCATTAGCTTCAGATTGTTTTTGGGAATGAAAAGAGTTTTACTAAGAGTAGAAAATTATTCGATCGATATAAGTTTCTATAAATTAAACAAAGTGAAATTTATAAATATTGTGCAACACTATAAAGAGATGAATTTTTTATATGGTAAATAATAGTTTAATACATTTACAGAATATGCGAAGGCAGACTAAACAATCTATGGTCGTATAGTAAAGTGAAAAGAAGATTTTATAATCTCTATGACAGATATATGTATATGCAGAAGAACTATAGAAAATATAGTGAAATCAACGTTTCTATATAATATACTTGCTCAAATGATGTTTCTTTGTTTGATTTATAACCAGATTGTTTTTTATTTTATATATTAAATTATTTTTTAATAATATACCATTTTAAAAACAGATCATTTTATTTCATTTTAGTAAATACAATTATTTTATAAAAATTTATAATAGATATAGCTTCAGAGTACAAGTAAAGTTAGTCATATATTATATATTCTGATGGCTAGTTAATTATATCTTATCATGAAAGCAGATATTAATAGACAAATGTGGAAAAGTACACCAGAAATATGATTATTTTTCACATTTCAGCCTTAAGCAGCGAATTTCTTGTGTTAAATGGAATTTTTATTATCTACATTTATTATATAACAGTTATATATACGAAGGCAAGCAACCTGCCTCTATATTCTAAACGTAGATATCTATATTATCAATGGTATTATCTGAGGCGCAATAAATACTAAAGACCAGTAGTAGACATACAAAAGACGTTTCGAGCGATCCCCTAAATGTTGATCAAAAATTTGGATATATACTAAGGGCGAGCATATGAGAATCGATTACACTCGACTGTAAAATTCTTACTTGATTTACATGAAACATATCTACTCATCATATATTTATTATACATATTATTCACAATAAATTTTTGCCTACTATACAAACCACTTCTTATGCTCAACCACAAATCGATTATTAAATGAATAAGCTCCAATATAGAGATGAACAACATCTCTTAGCAGTGACATAAACAAACAAACATACAGCATGGATAACCTATAATACTCTGACAATCAAAGTATCTCAAAAGCAAAATAAAGTAAAGCTGAGTGAGGCAAACTTCAAGTTGAGTTAAAGAAACCGGCTTGACGAAGGTGTGTCCCAGCCAATAAGTAATTAGCTCAGAATTTCGCTCCACCTAATGATGCACAAATCAGGAGCAGGCGGCAGTGGACAGTGGACAGTCGAGAGTCGAGAGTCGGCAATGGAGAGTCAGTTGCAGAGCGGAATTTGCTAAGTAAACAACAGCTGAACTGGAATTTAAAGTGATTTCGACAAGGGACATAAAACGTCCATGCAAAAGCGCTACAACTGGGGCTAACAAGATCATTAAGATGCCGCAGCATTCTGGCAAATTATTGAATTGGATGTGGCTCTGATTAAGAGCAAGTGCGAATGCGGACAGGGGATATACATATAGACAGGCATAGAACTAGGCTGCACTAAACATTAAAATGCACTTATCAAAGCAACTAACAGAGAGGGGGAGAGAGAGACAGAGAGAGGGAGAGAGATGGCTACATTTGGCCAACAAGCTATCAATCCTAATCAGAGCCTGAGAGCTGGCTGCCTGCCGATGCGTGGCCAGAGATAGGCTAAAAATAAACCAAATGCAATGCTGGAATTGAAATTGCCAAGACCTTGGTCGCTCCACCACGGCGCTGGACAAATGTGGCCCTTGGCCTTCGCTCACCTTGAAATGCCGTTGGGAGCCATCCAATTGGAAAAAGGCAAAAAGATGCGTGGCGCATCTTAAATCAGTTACAGTCGCTCCAGTTGCCGTTGCAGTTGCAGTTGTAGTTGCAGTTGCAGTTGCAGTTAAAGACAACCACTTGAATGAGCACCAACAGCAACAAATGCAGTAAACTTCATTGAGGAATGATAGCGTAGTACATACCCTGTTTGTAACAGTTTATAAAATGTACAACATTTGTTTTTATCATGCATATATGTATGTATATAATGTGAATGTAAAAACATTTAATTTAATTTATTTTAATATATATTTTTTATTTATTAGAGGTAGTATTATAGACTATGCTAGACTCCTAAACTTCAAAAAATACTTATGATTATTATTTAAGCATTTTATTTAATTTTTTTCCTGTCGTTGCATACTAAATTCTGCATACATTTTATTTAGCAGACACAAAAATACTCTAACTATATTTGTTTACACAAATTTTTATATACTATATTTATATATTTATTAATAACTCTTCCTGTTATATATCCCACTTTATATGAACTACCTCTTCCATAGTCTACACACACTTATGCCAACTTATCATAGCCTCGCTTATTCTCTGGCTTCATCTACAGGGTATTACAATTGAATATCGCTTACATAGGCCCCTGCTGCACAGCCGCCGCTCGCCAGCTCGTGGTCATGGCCTTGATCTCAGTGGCTCGCGCGATGGCCTCTTGGCCGCCTGATGCGGCCAACATGTGATAAGAAACTGTTTGGCTTAGCTCTGGAGTGTGCTGCCTGCGTACGATGCTGTCCGCCGAGCTGAGCCTTGCTACAATTAAGCCAAATTGACGCCTCTGTCGGGGCAGTTGCCGTTAACGATGACAGCGATGCAAGTGGACAGCCAGCTCGTTATAGAACAACTCAGCCCAGAGGGCGAAAGCCGGTGCCTAGAACCCAAGCGAGAACTAGAACCTGACAGAACCTGTAGAGGCGAACGGGCGGTTTTGGTATAAAAGGACCTGACGGCAGCTAGCCTAATGCAGTAAGAACTTCAAAGTTCTAGACGCAGCTTCAACTTACATTTCAGCATGCAATTCCTGGTGCTCTCTCTGGTGGCCTCCAGCTTGGCGCTGGCCCAGGGCCTGGCCGTCTACTCCAGCTACCCGTTGGTGTACACGGCTCAGGGCAGCGCCGTCGTAACTCCTACGCAGCAGCAGTATCAAACGCAAGACGTACTGGGTCAGTATGCCTACGGCTATGCCGAGCCGCACTCCAGCAAGCAGGAGTTCCGCAGCATCGATGGCATCACTCGCGGCAGCTACAGCTACCGCGATGCAGCTGGCAAGCTGCAGACCGTGGACTACAGGGCCGACGACCAGGGCTTCCATGTGGCTGCCACGAACTTGCCGCAGCAGTTTCGTGCGGTCAGCTCGTCAGGCGGAGACATTTCCGCTGCAACTGCCGCCGCCGCTGCCAACAATCGTGCTGACGCCGTCGAAGTTGCCGCCGCAACTACTCGCCATCTGGCGGCTCATGAGGCGGCTCGACTGCATCTGGCGCAGGCTCAACAGTCAGGCGGAGCTCAGTCAGTCGGCCACTCAGGTGTGGGCCTGCCTCTTCCCGTCGCCGACACAGCCGAGGTAGCCGCCGCCAAGTCGATCCATCTCAAACGCGTCGCCTCCGAGGCTCTACGCAACGAACTGATCAGCGGTCGATCCGTGCCCAGCACCAGCTCCCATGTCATTCTGCCCGTGCACTCAATCTACAGCATTCCGCGCTATTACAGCTCCGGTTTCTATTACTAAGTTCAATTTGTCATGCATTTCAGGAGCTAATAAAGAGATTGGACAACTATGTTGTGTGGCCTTTTGAATTGAGAATTGATCTTAGAGATTCGCACACTATGATAGCTCTTTCTTGAACATATAGAATTAGAGGTAGATATAATGGATCAGTAATATGTTGATGTGGTAAGAGACACCCTCAATATTGGTTATTTGATGCGTCTGCCTCTGCCTCTGCCTCTACCACTCTCTCTGGCTCTACCTATGAATCTGCTTCTGCCTCTACCGCTGTCAAAGCGTAAGTCCAAGGTTTTCTTGCTAAGGTTCCCTGGGTCAGGAGCAATGCAGCTCCATTTAATATAATATTGATATACTACTATTGTTTGATCATTGATTACCTACTCACTGCGTAGGCTCATCTCTCTATGGTAAAATATTTGAAGACAAACCTCTGCAAAAGAAGTCACTGAAATTATGCGCCCTCCACATTGTCAAGCAAATGAATCAGTCAATCGAATCGATTGAAGCAGGAATTCCACTTGGATTCAGCTCATTCACGTTTTTGGCTACAGCTGAATGGGCAACATTTCATAAATATTCGTATATTCGGATATTTTGATTTCAATTATATTTAATAGCGGCATAAACAACATATATCAAAAGGTAGCTGCTGGTTCCTTGACCTTAGGGACGTGCAAAAGCTGGCCTGATTAAGTTCTTGGGTTCGCTGTTGCCTCTGCCTGGCAGATGGAAACAAATTGCGGCTTTTGTGTACAAATTTATGCTCAACTTGTTGAAATCGACAAAATATTTATGTACAAACAGTGGAAGAGGAAGAGCCACAGCAACAACAACAACAACAACATCAACAATGAAGCCCGAAAAAACAGGGAATATGAAAGTAAACTGGACGACCTTCCCGAAGAACGCACGAAATGGCAGAGTTAGCTTCTTCTTTTTTGTGGCAACTGTAAGGCGGCTATAAAAAGCAACCACTGCACCACAAAACCGCACAGAGTTCTCTAGAGCGAGTACTAGTCCACGACACTAGCAGCGCCTCTTAACCAACCCACCCAAGAAGACCAACTAAGGAAATCCAAAAGAAACAAAGATGCAGCCACTGAACTTGAGCTTTTATCTCTGCCTGCTGCTTGCACCACTGCGCGCTGCTTTGGGTGGCTCACTGCTGGACTATGGCGCACCACCGGCAGCCGGCACCATCACCCAGTACCACAGCCAGGATGAGCACGGTCAGTATGCCTACGGCTACACGGCTCCACTCTACTCCAAGCACGAGACACGCACCGCAGATGGTGTCACGCACGGCTCCTACAGCTATGTGGATGCCCGTGGAGAGCGCCAGACGGTGGGCTACACGGCGGATGCGGCCGGCTTTCGCATCACCTCGAGCAGCCTGCAGCAGCAGCCAAACAAGGAGACGCCAGAGGTTGCCCAGCTGCGCGCCCAGCATCTGGCTGCCCATGCAGAGGCCAAGCTGCGTTTGGCTGGCGGCTCATCTTTGTCACCTGTACAGGATACACCAGAGGTGGCGGCCGCCAAGGTGGCCTTCTTCAAGCGGTTCGAGGCGGAGAAGCTGCGCCATCAGCTAACCAAGCCAGTCATCAAAGCAGCCATTCAGCCCAGCTACAACATCATCTCCCAGCCCCTGTACGTCTATCGGCCAGCCAGTGGCTACGTTTACAAGTACAACTCCCTGCTGAAGGCTGCACCACCCACACGTGCATATCTGCCAGTGGCTTAAGCTTCCCAAATTTGTCATTCCATGAACGCATTTGTTTTGGTTTCTGTTAATAAATATTGAAATAATGTGAAATTAGAATTGGAGTATCTTTATTTAAGTAAGGGCAGCAGTAGGCCGAAGCGCTTGGATAGTCAGCGAATCATAGAGAAGACTTCCTGCTCAAATGGAACTAAATTGATTGCTCTCTATGCTCAGGTTATAGATTCAAAAACGAAGAAGAAAGGAGAATTCTAGAGAATTTAACTTTAATCCCTCAGTGGGAATAATGTTCTTCTCTAAAATAGGTAAGCTATAAGGTGTTGCGATTCATAATGATGCTTTGAAAAAGAGAGTCGCAATCCTCCACTGATAGAGAATTGACCTTTAAGCCATATTAGCGTAGTCTGCGCCTCGTATCCCTCCATAGGCTAAAGACGTAGATAGCCGCCTTTTCCTTATCACCCTCCCTCTTACACAACTCACATATGTAGGGCACTATGGTGCACAGAATGCATTTATTCTTAGCACTAAGATTAAATAAAGTCCGAATTTCACCAGGGTCAACAAGTCCTTACACACACATACATATGTATTCTAGTTCCGTTTACTCAAGACCAGGCTGCGACTCAGTGCAACGGGTCGCAGGGTTCTCAGCTCGGTGGGAGTGGTCACGCTGTATTTGGCATCGGGTGAGACGTAGGAGTAATAGGCGCTCACTGGCACACGGACATCCTGACGATCCTCGCTTAAATCGCTCAGTTTCAGGTAGCTGCTGGACCTGAGGTCCTCCAGGCTGTAGACGGTGCGCAGACGCATATCGTTGGCATCGCTCGACTGCTTGAGGCGTTGCTCGCGTGGGCGCGGAATGGCTTGGGTCTGTGTGCGTTCCCGCTCCTGTTTTGTTTTCTGTTTTCTTTCGCGCTCCTGTTTCCTCTCTCGCTCGCGCTCTAGCTCCCTCTCCTGCTCGCTCTGCCGCTCCCGCTGTCTCTCCAGCTGCCTCTCCTGCTGTCTGTCTGCTTCCTCCTCCTGGCTGTTGTTCTCCTTTGCTGCTGTTGCCTCCTCTTTCTGATTCTTCTGCTGAGCCTCGCCCCGCTGTCGCTCCGCCAGCATGGAAGTCAGCTCTGCCCGCACCCGTTCCAGTATATCTGCATCCTCATCACTCAGGCGCTCTTCCCCGCTCTGCTGCTGCTCCTTCTCCTGCTCCTGCTGCTGCTGCTGCTGCTGCTGCTTTTCTGCCTGCTGAGCTTCGCGTACAGCATTGAGGTGGGCCTCACGCGCCTGCTGGACCTCAGCCGTGTCGTTCACTGGCAATGGTGGCTTCTTGTCATCAACGGGTGCTTTGGGCAGATTGGTACCCTCCGCTTTGAAGCCGTCCCGACCGCCTGCCTTGTACTTGACCGTCTGCAGCTCTCCATTGGGATCCACATAGGAGTAGAAGCCACGCGAGGTACCATCCAATGCGGTATACTCCGCTCTGGCTGCATTCTCGTCGCTGTAGCCGTAGGAGTAGAAGGCGCGCGCTGTGTCCTGCTCCTGGTAGCCGCGTTGAACTGACGGCGCTGCAGTACGCGTGATCTTGATGATGGGTCTTGAAGTGGAGCCCGCTGCAAGGCTCCACGAAGCTGCAACAACTGTGGCTAATAAACAAATGAAGCGATGCATCCTGTCGATCTAATCGATTTGTTGATTGCGTTCAAACTGATGCTGCAATGACTAACGTTGTGGTTATTTATAGCTGAGCACATCTGCACCACTTGCACCACTTCGCTGGTAACCCAAGCCCGCAGTGTCTGCGCAATGACCTTCCCAAATGGCATCTCCAACCGATCCGCTTACAAACCGCCACGGCAGCTGGCAAAGCCTCGATGTTGTAATAGTGAACTTAATATTGATATTGCTTGCGCATGGATGCGGATACACCCGATCTGAGCAGCTCGCAGATTGCGCAATTGGCCCACGCACTTGCAAACGCCCTCCTAGGGCTTCACGATTTGCAAGCACTTAAGTTCCGGCGAGCAGCAATCAACAGAGGAAGCGGAAAACAGAAAACAGAGACAAGCACAGAGAGAGGGATAGACGGGGGAGACATGCCAAAAGTGAGGGAGAGAGATAAACAGGAAGAGAGGGAGAAAGCTAGTGAAAGCGAGGGAGTATGTCGGCCAGTGAGAAAGTGAGATAAGAATATACAGAGAAATAGAATAGATGGTCAGCTATAGAGACAGAGCAAAATAAAGATATAACGAGAGATGATATGGAGTATCTCTCTATTTCAGGAGGAGACATAGAAAAGAGAATAATAGAGAATGGAGTCAAAAAGATACAGAGAAAAAATAGACAAAAACCGAGAGAGATATCAACTTATGTATATCAAGCCCAATAGAACATTTTCAATTGGTTTGGTTAGCCTAGTAATGAGTCTGATAAAATAAGCTAACTTTAACATCTTTATCAAACCTGATCTAATTTACATATAAGACAACTCTTTTCACATCTTACATTAATCCAACAATAAACACTATATTCTGTTTTCATCTCCCACGAAGCAGTTAAGTATCGGCTTTCCGAATTGGAACTGCCCTAGGAAACAGCTGCGCACTTTCGAAGGCGATCTTATATTCCCCTTTAAAACTCTCTAGCCTCAACAGGGAGGAGAGTATCTGAGACTCGAAAAGCCGACTCAAACTGATAGACTCAAACGGCCAAAGTCTCAGTTCTAGTTCCAGTGAACGGCGATCAGTTGTGAAGCAAACGCCGAGCCGAAAGCAAGCTGAGTAGCATTAGCCAAGAAATGTTGATACATTTATCTTCCGAAACTGAAAAGTGTTAATTGAGAATGGATTTGACTGGTAAAAATGTGGTTTACCTCGGTGGCTTTGGGGGTATTGGCCAAAAGGCTTGCGCCCAGCTGCTCGAACGCCAGATCAAGGTGGGTTCGACGTTCGATAGAGACAAGTTTTCCTCCTCAACTCTCTGTGGACCTTTTAGGCGCTGGCCATATTCGATCTGACGCTGAACGAGCAGCTCTTGGCGGCATGGCAGGCGCAATATCCAAATACTGATATATTCTATCAAAAAGTGGACATCACCCAGAAGTCAGAGATTGAGGCAGCCTACAAGGCAGCGGCTGAACGCTTGGGTCACTTCGATGTGGTTGTGAACGGCATTGGCCTGATGAACGACAACTTTGTGGAGCTGACAATTCAAATTAATCTGGTGGGACAATTTAGATAACCTATCTAGTATTCCAGCGAATAAACAGCTTCACTTTTCAGCTAGGCTTAATCCAAAGCTCCTTTATAGCCTTGGAGCACATGGATAAGAGCAAGAGCGGTCGAGGTGGAGTCGTGATCAACATCTCTTCGGTGGCTGGAATTCAACCAACTCCACTCATGTCCGTCTACTCGGCCGCCAAGCATGGTGTGACAGCCTTCACTCGAGGACTTGGAGTGCGTATCACCAGACTTAAATTTCAACTAAGATTAACTCTCTATCTCTCTCTCTTTCTCTTTATACCTCCCAGAGTGCGCAATTTTATGAGCAGACTGGCGTTGCTTTTATAACCGTCTGTCCAGGGTTTACGGACACGCCTCTGCTCTTCGACATGATGAACAAGATGACATTCAAGCCTCGCACAACCATCGACAAGCACACACACAAGGTCCAATCTCCCGAGATCTGTGCCTCGAATCTCGTCAAGGTCATCGAACAGGGCAAAAATGGCAGCGTCTGGCTGCTGGAGCTGGGCGAAATGAAAGAACTCGATATGCCCGTTATGTGGAGGCCAACGCTGCAGAGCTGAGCATACTCCAAATGCAATAAAAATATTTGAAATATATCAAATCAACTTTCCAGACTTGTTAATTGTGCTAAACTCTCGCATCATTCGAAAATCTTACTCATAATCAACCACAGAAATTTTTATATGCATTAGAATCAAACCACAAGAATCGAACGCAAGACTATGGTCAGATGACACTAGCTGAAAGTGTTGACTGTGCTTGAACGAGCTTGAATATAGTATTATATTATAATTGTTAAAACAAAATGTTTAATAAATTCCATATGTTCGACAGTTTTGTTTTTCGAATTTTGTTCTTTGTTTGTGTTTAAAAACCCACCCAAGTTCTGTCATTACTTCTTCATATAAAGCACATCTACTATTAGTATTATTTAATAACTTTTATTGAGAATTCTCGCACACACACACATTAATTCGTTAAGTTTTGCTCAATTTCTAATACATTTATATTTCTGAAGTTTATGAAGAAAATTCAGCACACAAAAAAATTACACACAAATATATATATATAATTAATTGAGTTGGTTTTAAGACCGACGCTGGAACAATTACAAAAACAAGACAAAAGTATCTGTCAGATACAGCAGCTTGTAGTTGTATATATATGTATGTATATTAGTTGTTTAAGATCGGTTATGGTATGCTTTTACAATTAGTTAGTTAGTTTAAGATTATTATTTTAATAATAATTAGTACATATCTATGGAAATATAAAGACATTTGTTTGTTCTCCCATTAAACTGGGAGTAGTTCATATGTTAACTGTAAATTTCACATCATCACAATTTAAGATTCTCCAACTATAATAACACAAATCTATGCCTCATCGCTGAATATTCCATATATCATTTATTATTATATATTATTATTATTATTTTCATGTTTTGTACATATATTCAAAGTGTGGACATTTCATGGGATTTCTATTTGTTTAGATAGCTGGCAAAATGTTGGTGTATAGCATGAACTTTGGTATTTTTTTTGTATTTTTTTGTATTCTTCTTAGTATTTTCGATATTCTGGTATTGTCCGTGGCCCAACACATTTGATGCATCAGGTTGGAAGCGTATATACTATACATGGATAGATAAACTATTGTAAGTCACTTGGCCAATTGAAAAGAAGCGCATGGTTTTTGCAGCTACTTTTATATTTCGTGAAGCACTTGAGTAGAGCGTAGATCAGCTTTCTATATACTATATAAATACTGTATATACATATATGCATATATCTATTACACTCAGATTGCAAAGTTTGGTATTCAGTTAATTTATGTTTGTCG